TTTAATTCCTCTGTTTATGCAGCCTAGAACTGTGTTGGCTTTTTTGACAGCTGCTATACACTACTGGTTCATATTTAAATGGTTGCCGACTAGGACTCCAAGATCCTTCTCACAGTTACTACTATTGATCAAGATACCACATATGCTGTACCTGTGCATTTTGTTTTTATCGCCTAAATGCAGAGCATTACTTTTTTCACCATCAAATTTCATTTTGTTAGATACCACCTATGTTCAAGTCTCTCAAGATCCCTCTGTATCTTAAGCCTATCTTCTGGAGTGTTGGCTATTCCTGCTAGTTTGGTGTCATCTGCAAATTTGATGAGTTCCCCATCTATCCCCTCGTCCAAATCATTGACGAAGATGTTGAAGAGTATTGAGCCTAAAACAGAGCCTTAGGGTACCCCACAAATTTTGCAAACATGCCTTCAATTCATAATCTCCTAATTTTTGTTTCTAATGATAATCTTAAATATTTAAAAAGAAAACTGATAAGTGGTTTGCCACCTATATTTATTCCTGCCTTCCTGCCCTCCCTTTTAACTAGCAATTGATGTGCACCACATGGCATATACAGAGCATTCAGAAAATATTCAGACCATCTTCACTTTGGTCAATTTTGTTATGCTGCAGCCTGATTCAGTTGTGAAAATTTTGTCAAATTATCAAAATTTTGACAGTTGTCAAAAATCCTTTTTTTCTCATTAATCTACACTTAGTACCCCAAAATGCCAAAGTGAAAACAAAATTTTAGAAATGTCTGTAAATGTATTAAAACGAAAAACCTGAAATAACACATTAGCATAAGTATTCAGACTCTTCACTCAGTACTTTGTTGAAGCACCTTTGGCAGCAGTTGCAGCCTTGAGTCTTTGGGTATAATGTGAAAGCTTTGCACACCTGGATTGGGAGATTTTCTGCCATTCTTCTTGCAGATTCTCTCAAAATCAGTCAGGTTGGATGGTGCCTGTCAGTGGACAGCCATTTTCAAGTCTCTCCAGAGATATTCAATAGGGTGCAATGAGGGCTCTGCCTGGACCACTCTAGGACATTCACAGAGTTGTCCCCAAACCACTCCTGTGTAGTCTTAGCTATGTGCTTGGGATTGTTGTCATATTGGAAGATGAATTTTCAGCCCAGTCTGAGGTCCTGAGTTCTGTGGAACAAGTTTTCTTTGAGGATATCCCTGTACTTTGCTCCATTCAGGTTTCTCTCATCTCTGCTGCTGAAAAACACCCTTATAGCATGATACTGCCACCACTATGCTTCACTGTTGGGATTATATTGAGAAAATGATGAGTGGTGCCTAGTTTCCTCCAGAATTGAGGCAAAAAGTTCAATCTTGGATTCATCAGACTAGAGAATTTTGTTCCGCCTAGTCTGAGAGTCCTTCAGGTGTTTTTTTGCAAACTGCAAGTGAACTGTGTTTTGCACTGAGAAGAAGCTTTCACCACTCTACCATAAAGCCCAAATGGGTGGCCGTAGAAACATGTCAGCAATGATCAAGAGAAATGAGAGGTACCTGAGTGACATTTCAAGTTTTGCTGCAAAAATATATGGATATGAAATAATCAGGAATCAATTTTTAAAAAGACTTTATTTTTACTTAAATAAACACTTTGTTTAACAAAATTGCTTTTGAATTATGTAGAAGTGTATCTAAATATAACTTTGGTTTGCTCATTTTTAAAAATATTTTAAGATTGAAGTGTGTAATAGACTAATATTTTAATCAGCTATAACCACTTACTCCTTGTCCATCTATCTGCAGTATTTTCCAGATTTGTTTTTTGCTTTGCAAAATTGTAATAAAAGGCTAATTTAGATTTTCTTGGCCATGAATACAGTCATTAATTAACCAGACATCTAAATTGATTTATAATCCCTTGAAGATTTTTTTCAATAAAATTGAATTCATCTTAAAACATTCCCATTTAAATTATCAAGCTGCTTAACTGGTTGGAATACGAAACACATATTTGTATCTAAAATGTGCAGCTAGAAATTCATAATTTTATTTTGTCATATTGGTGATTTTTTTCATTTTCTGATTTTAATGCAAACCCGACATGTTGTACATTATTCTTGCATTTTAATGGGTTAGTTGGATTATATTTCTAACTAGCTGCTAAAAAGTTTGTTCTTATTGCACCTGGGTGTTGAGAATCAAACACACTAAAACACTTTAATCCAAAGTGTTCCTGAGTAGAATATAATTTTACATTGGGGGGTGGGGGCTGAGTGGAATGATCTTCAGTATATAATCCTTATATTCCAACTATTGCTTCTCCTAGCACAGCGGTCTCCAACCTTTCCGGCTTTGTGGACTGGAGAGGGGGTTAGAGTAATGGTTCTGTGTGAGTGGTGGGGAAGCGTGCAAGTGGCGGGAGTTGCACGCTTGCCCGCCATTTCCACAACCCTGTTCTGAATGGACTATGGCCTAGTAGTGGACCATGACCTTAGGGTTGGGGACCCCTGTCCTAGCACATCATATATTACAAAAAAATTATGTTAGCTTAAGGAACCACATTTCTATAATGGCAGGAACTGACTTGTTCTCTGCTTGAGAGTTTATTTCTACCTGGGAAATGAGCAATGTAAATCTTGAAATTTGTACTTCTCATCTATTGTTTTTGTAGAAAACAATTGTGTTATTAGTCATATAAGATAATATACTTTTACAAGAGTGGATTATAAGAAGGAAAGTTATAACAGATTATTACCTGCATTTTAAAAAAAGAACAGTGTTAAATCGATTTTGCATGATTTTGGCACAATTTATCCTTTAATTGGGTGTGTTATCATATAATATAAGATTTTAAACAAAATGTTTCATAAAACTACCATTTCTGTGATGCCATTTAAAAATATAGAAATTGTCAATTATTTTTGAGTTTTTCAAAGAATAAAATTATTTTTGTCAAGTAGAATGTACTTGGGCAAGCTGACATAAGAGTAAAAGTTAATGGGAAGGATAGTTTTTGCTTCTTAGAGTTCAGATCTTTCATAAAACTTGTAGTATTTTTAAAAACTAAAGAAAAGAGATTACTGGTTCATAATTCAAAGAAACACATTTGGTTTTTTTTAAAGTTAAGTCTATAAAACAATATGTTAATTGAAAATCACTTTACATTAAACTTATGTAGTTTTTTTGTATAATTTATCAAATAAGCAGTGTAGCAGTTTTGCACATTTTCCAGAAGAGAGCAGCCTTTTCTATGCAGTAGAAAAATAGAGAATTAATTTATTCATATTGATAGAATTAAGTATTGTGTCTTTATTTATAGTTGTAAAGTTGTAAATGTAAAATAATTAAATATTATTTTTAATTCAATATAATTTTAAACATTTCAAATAATGTGTATAAGATAAAAGAATGTATGCAGTGTCACAATAGATGCAGCTCAAACTGGCAAATTATGACAAATCATGAAAAATGGCAGCACTTTTCATTTACTTTGTCCTGTCTTGTGTATCAACAGCATCAACACTGAGCATGTTTTCTTTATTCATTCTTTGCAATATTACCTTAAATGCTTGGTTCAGGTAGTTTCATTTTTATTAGTGCCTAATATTTACAAAGGCTCCCTTTTCTAGTACCTTGATCATGGTAAATGAATCCTTTAAATTGTTAATTGCCGATCCCTATGCAATTCATGGCAGGCAACGAACAAACTATAGAGATTACCAGTATTTTGTACAATTATTTTTTGCTGTTTTTAAAAAAATCTTCATTACAAGCAAAAAAAGTAATGTATCTTTCAGATAATCTTGTGTGTTCCATTTATATATATTACCCCAGTTAAGGTGTAAGCATATTTTGTTTCCATGAAAAAAACATGGGCTCAGCTGAGAAACCTATCTTTGCGGGCCAGCAGAGGCCCCATGGGCCGGACTTTTGGTTTTTTCTAGGCCGGCCCCATGGGCCGGATTCAGCCTTCAGGTCTTGAGTTTACACCCCTATTAGATACTGCAAATCCATATCAGTTTTTTTAATTCTGTCTGAAACTGGAATGGGAAGACCAGATGATGGTCTGTAAGAGTTGGTGATTGCTAATATCTGTGTCAAGAAGAGGAAATCAAGAGCCAAGGCGATTCAAATAAATATAGGTTTATTGCATGCCAACACTCTCTACAAGAATCTGAACTACTAACAGTCAAAGGAAATTTGCGATATATAATAGTCAGTGGAATTCAACCTGGGTTAGACTTAGATCTCTTGTAGGCACAAAGGAACTTGAGACTGATGATGTGCTTGATCCCTCCCTCGGACGCAGCTTGGTCATCTCTTACAGTCTAGTCTCCTTTGTTCTTGGAAGTTTTTTCAGCAGAGTTATAGTTATTGGTATAATTTATATCCTCTGCAATTCCACAAATTTCAGATGCCTCTCACAAGAAACTAACGTAAGAAATATAAGAAATAAGCAACTTAAAACAACAAAAATCATTACAACAACACAATATGTCAGAAGCCTCAAAAGCCAGACAAAATAACAACAGAATAACATATCTCCCACTTTGAATACTGAAAGTATGGTGAGGAGAGGATAAGGAGAGATTAAAAACTTGAGCAACAACTTTACATTAATCATTAACATTAAATATACTGCTGTCTCAACATGAATTTCATCTGTTCTTTAGAAATGGATTATGTTTTTACACAAAATGTCTATTATATTTTTATCAAGTACTGCACAAGTAAAAGAAAATGTCATCTTCAATGCCCCATTTCCATCTCTCCTTACATGTCATCTAATATGTTTGGGTGTGATAGTTGTTAGTGCTGTAACAGATCACTGTTATTAGATTTTTAAAAATCACAAAAAATTAAAACATACTATATCAACATTAGGAAGTAACACTATATAATGGTATAACAACACTAGAATGCATTTTGTTGCTTATTTAAGTATTGACATCTTAATGTTTGTTATATAAACATATTTTCTTAAACTTTAATTTAGAGGCATTCTAAAAGGATAGTAATTACTCTGAAATAAATTAAAAATACTTAAAACAAAAGTGAAGAAAATTCTAAAATTCTTCTAATATCTCATTCTTCCAAAAGTCAATTTTCATCTTTACCCCATTGGCTGTATTCCCTATCCATCGAAAAAATATTAAAGACATCCCCAACCATGAATTCTCAATAAGCATATTGTAATTCACATTTGGTTCGAATGGTCTATTAGAACCATTTACAAATATCTAGATTTTCCTCTGCAACCCTCTCAGTATAAATAAAAGCATAGGTTTTGTTATAGAAAATTCTTTGGCCTTAAAAGGTTATTATTTTTGTAATCCAAAATAGGCTAAATCTTTATTGTGAAGTCCTTAGTGCTGTCTGAGTTTGGTTGTTTGTTACTTCCACACATTTCATTACTCAGCTAGATAACAACAGTACTCATTCCATCTCTGTAGCTCTATCTTTCCGTACCACTCTCTCTCTTTCTCTGTGTCTGTCTCTTTTTCCCTCCCTCTCTCTCCCCTTGTTTCCTTCCCCCTCTCTCACTTTCCCTTCCCCTCTTGCTTTCCCTCCCTCTCCCTCTCTGTTTCTCTCTTTCCTGCCCTTCCTATTTCACTATTTCTCTTTCTCTTTCCTGCCCTTCCTCTTTCTCTGTTCCTCTCTCTCTTTCCCTCCCCTCTCTCTTTCCTTCCCCCCTCTCTCTTTCTCTGTGTCTCTTGTCACTCACTCTTTCTCTCCCCTCTCTTTCCCGGTTTCCCTCCCTCCCTCCCTCTCTCTTTCGCCTCCCCCCTCTGATATCTGGGAGGTGAGAGCAAGCCGACAATGACGCAAGGTCGCATTGGGGCTCCAGGAGGAGGGTATCCCAGCTCCCCCATTGTGAAACACGCCTAATTTCACTGTGCTGAGCAAGGCGCTGCGACAGTAGTGGGCAGGCCATGGAGGCAGCAACAGCAAATGTACTGCAACGAAGGCGGAATGCTGTTTTGCACAAAGGCAAGTGCAGGGATGCTTCGCTCCCGCACTAAGGTTACAGCTATCGCCACCGCTGCAATAGGGTGACGGCTCATTCATCCCTCTGCCGTGACAGGGCAACAAGGAGCCGCAGCAGAGGGATGAAAGAGTCACGTGCGGCTCTGGAGCTGAGGGTTGCCGACACCCGGACCAGAGCACTGCAAGAGACAAATTTTATAAAATACAACATTGGTATAGGTGTGTTTTATTAAAATTAATATTCTGTGGATTTGGATTTGATACATATTTTCAAGTGATCTGCAGTGGAATGAAGATATAATATAGGATTATCCATATAAATGCTTTTAAGGAGTTTTAAAAAAAATCTTTCAAGATCAATAATCTGAGAAGACTGTCAAATCAATTTGATTCAACTAAAAAACATAAATTACAATTTGTTTTGATAAACTTTTTAATGCTTTTTTGTATTATATGTATACTAAAAAACAGTTACTTTCCATTTTAGTTATCTGGAAAAATATGAGAAAGTACATCATTTTGGAGAGGATGATGATGAGGTACAACCAGGCAATCCAAAGCCACAACTACCTATAGGTGCAATTCCATGTTCCTATAATTACCAGCAGCACAGCGTGTCAGGTAAATCTTACAGCCAATTAATAGTACCATTTATATTGGATTTCTTTGAAAAGAATAGCACAGTGACCTATACATGTATTGTTGCTAATCTGTATTTTTGCCTTCATGAATAGATTTTCTTCGACAAAGTTATGGGCTATCTATGGACTTTAATTCACCAAATGATTATAATAAATTGGTGCTTTCTCTATTATCTGGACTCCCAAATGAAGTGGACTTCGCTATTAATGTGTGCACTCTTCTGTCAAATGAAAGCAAACATGTTATGCAGCTTGAAAAGGACCCTAAAATCATCACGTTATTACTTGCTAATGCTGGGGTGTTTGATGACAGTAAGTTTCTAATTTGCATAATATTTTAAAGATAAATGTACTACTGTAAAATATAATTTTTCAAGTGCTGAAAATCTATCTTCTGTTTAAGCTATTCACTAATTTTACGCAGGACAAGCCCTGCCACATCAGAACAATGGTTCATTTAGTTTAGTATTCTTTAGCAGTGTTTATTCAGATGTTTTTGTGACATCTGTGGCATAAAGACCACATCTTTCCCCTTACTTGCTCTATCAGTCAATGTTGTTCATTGACGACCACTTACTCAAGAGAAAAGACAGATTTTAATAAATGTGTTTAAATTCCCTTTTAAAGCCGTTTAAGCTTCAATCTTATACCTGTTTTTCTGTGGGTAAACTCCATTAAACTCTCAGACTATATTGTTGGTATTATGTTCGCCACATTTACTTTGCTTAAATTATATATAGCAACAGCACTTAGACTTATACACCACTTCACAGTGCTTTTCAGTCTCTATAAGCGGTTTACAGTGTCAGCCTATTGCCTCCAACAATCTGGGTGCTCATTTTACCAACCACTGAAGGATGGAAGGCTGAGTCAACCCTGAGCTGCTCAGAATTGAACTTCTGGAGTGAGCAGTGAGTTAGCCCTGCAGTACTGCATTCTAACCATTGCGCCACCACAACTCTTATATATTGTGTGATTCCCCTTTTTTGGTTCTGGATATACTCTCAATGAGTTTCATATTTACTGAGTATTTCTAGAATTGGATTCTAGAAATCTGGGACAATTGGCAGGATTTTTTTGTTTAGAATTCTGTACATTTCTATCTTCTTTTCCTTTTTTGTTTAAAGCTCCATGTCTAGTTGCCCATTTTTGCAATATTTGCATCTGTATAATTTCTTTTCTAAGACAGAGTAATCAAAAATGTCTTCAGAATCTATATAGTCAAACTATTAATTATTTATCAGGTTTTTATAGGATTTTAAATCTTTCTAATTATTTTCATTCTTTATTGAAATGACTTAATAAAAGCAGTTATACAGTTGTGGAAAGTTTTTACAAGGAAGATGTTATGTATAATAATCATAATCCAAGTGTAAGAAAATAATTTATAAATCAAATGCTAAACTGAGTAGGGTAGGACTTATTGTGTGTGCATATTTTTCCCTGCGGTTGGAAGTTACTGCATTAGGATCAAATATGACTTTGACAAGCTTTTTGATTAAGGCAATTTCATTTGTGTTTGTATTAATACTTCTTTCATGGCATTATTTTAATGGAATCCATGAAACCAGATTTGTATTGTTAAGTCAAATAGAATGTTCTTTTGTTATTTATTTTTTATAATTTATAGAACATGTTACTTTTCTTTTTCTTTCACAAACCCTTTATTATTTAATCTATTGGATACTATAAACATGCTTCCTAGTATTCTCATAGCATACATTGATTTGTCATTGATCATTCTGTATCCCATTCTGTGCTTAGATATGTTCATGAAAGTTGGATTTCTCAAAATAATGGAATTATATAAGATACCATTTTCTGAAGAGAAATATTCCTTAAACCCTTCAGTATATGGATAATCAAGAATGTAGCTATTAAATCTTCATACTATGATATGTATTGATTGAATTTTATGAAATCCACTCCATAAATTATTTTAAAATAATTATTACTGTATTAGTCATTTTAAAATGTGGTATAATATTCATTCCAAGAAAGAAAATAAAGAATCTGTCTTTTTTCCCCACATAGGCCTAAAATGTATCTTTCAAACATTTCTTCTAGAACAGTGTTTTTCAACCACTGTGCCGCGGCACACTAGTGTGCCGTGAAATAGTGTAAGGTGTGCCATGGGAAAAACACTTTATATATAGTCAATATAGGCACAGAGTTAAACTTTTTAAACATTTTCTAATGGTGGTGTGCCTCGTGATTTTTTTCATGAAAAAAGTGTGCCTTTGCACAAAAAAGGTTGAAAAACACTGTTCTAGAAAGCAGATTTTACAAACAAATCTTTTGTTCACAATAAACTTCTAACACTTTCATGTAAACATGCATATTTTCCCAGTCCTTCATAATCACATTATAAATATACACGGTCTTCTGATTTATTTTGATTAAGTGACTACTTTGTTCATGTGTAAAGAGGAAGGAATACAGTGGATATAAAAACTCTAAGTATCCCTTTTAAAATGCCAGATTTTTGAGATATAAAAATGTAAAAGAATCCAATCAACATAAATCACTTCAGATTTTTTCCACTTTTAATATAACCTACAGTATAAGCTGTACAATTCAATTGAAAAGCAAACTGAAAAATAACAATTAAAAACATACAATAATGTGCTTGCATAAGTGTGCCCCTTATGCACCTTAAACCAATGTTTGTTGAAGCACGTTTTGGTTTTATGACAGTGTTCAGTCTTTTGGGTAGAAGCCATATCAGCATGGTACATCTTGTCTTGCAAATCTTTGCCTACTCTTCCTTGTAAAAGTGCTCACACACCCTAACTCACTGTCATAAAGTCAAACCATGCTTTAACAAAGTTAAATCTTTGTTAAAGATTGTGAGGGTGTCTCCTATGCACAGCTTCCTTCAGGTCACCCCATTCCAAAACTTTGATATTCTTATAGTGAAGCCATTCTTTTGTTGATTTGGATATGTGTTGGGTCGTTGTTGTGTTGAATGGTGAAATTCATCTTCAATATTTTAGGACAGGCCTGAAAGTTTTTTTTCCAAAATTGACTGATATTTGAAAACTGTTCATAATTACCGCCACCTTGATTAAAGAGCTTTCCAAATGAAGAAAAGCAGCCCCAAAGCATAATGCTGCCACCACCATATTTCATTGTGGGTATGGTGTGTTTTCAGTGATGCAGTGTTACTTTTGCACCAAACATATTTTTTTGCAATTATGGCCAAAAGGTTTAACATTTTTTCTCCCTCTTTGCTCTGACACATACATCCACCTGTGCTATCCTTCCTGGACCTTCTATAACAGGAATGTGAAACTCACATTGTCATGGTGGCATGACGTCACATATCAGGACTTTTCCCCCCTTCGCTAAACTGGACATGGGCGTAGCTAGCGCATGACACATCTGGGCCACAGGCCGGGAGTTTGACAGCCCTGTTCTATACTCACACATATAGTTCATTTAGAAAGTGTTCAGACCCCCTTCACTTTTATAAATTTTGTTATGCTGCAGCGTGATTCTACAATTGTTGAAATTCATTTTTTTCATTAATCTACCCTCAGTACCCAATAATGACAAAGCGAAAACAGAATTTTAGAAATGTTTGTAAATTTATTTTTGAAAAAAACTGAAATATTACAATATTCAGGCTCTTTGCAACACTTGAAATTTTACTCAGATGCCTCTCATTTCTCTTGATCATTGCTGACATGTGTCTACACCTTGATTGGAGGCAACCTGTGGTAAATTAAATTGATTGGACATGATTTGGAAAGGCACATACCTCCATATCAAGCCTCACAGCTGACAATGCATACTTTAGCAGAGCAAAAGCCATGAGGTCAAAGGAATTGCTTGCAGAGCTCACAGAGAGGATTATTACAAGGCACAAATCTGGGGAAGGCTACAATAAAATTTCTGCTGCACTGAAACTTCCTAAGAGCACAGTGACTTCCATAATTCTGAAATGGAAGGCGTTCGGCACAACCTGGATTTTTCCACTAGCTGGTTGCCTGGTCAAACTGAGCAATTGGGGGAGAAGGGCTTTAGTAAGAGAAGTGACCAAGAATCAGATGGTCACTCTGACTGAGCTACAGAGATCCTGTGGAGATGGGACAGAATTCCAGAAGGACAACCATCATTGCAGCCCTCCACTGATATGCATTTTATGGCAGAGTGGTGGAAGCCTCTCAATGCAAAACACAGCCTGCTTGGAGTTTGCAAAAAAGCACCAGAAGGACTCTTAGACTGTGAAGGAACAAGATTCTCTGGTCTGATGAAACCAAGATTGAACTTTTCGCCTCAATTCTAAATGCTATGTCTGAAGTACAGGGATATCTTCAATGAAAACCAGTTTCACATATCTCAGGACCTGAGACTGGGCCGAAGATTCACTTTCCAACATGACAACGATCCTAAGCCACATAGCCAAGATTACACAGGAGTGGCTTAAAGAAAACTCTGTGAATGTCCTAGAGTGGCCCAGGCACAGCCCTGACTTGAACCCTATTGAACATCTCTGGAGGGACTTGAAAATGGCTGTCCATCAGTGGTCCCCATCCAACCTGACTGAGCTTGAGAGGATTTGCAAGAAAGAATGGCAGAAATCCTCCAGTCAAGGTGTGCAAAGGTTTCACATCATACCCAAAAGGAGTAAAGGCTGTAATTGCTGATAAAGGTGCTTCAACAGCGTACTGAGTGAAGGATCTGAGTACTTATGCCAATTTGGTATTTTAATTATTTTCTTTTTAATAATTTTACAGACATTTCTAAAATTCTGTTTTTACTTTGTCATTGTGGAATACTGAGTGTAGATTAATGAAAAAAACAAAATGAATTTCAACAACTGTAGAATCAAGCTGCAGCATACAAAATTGATGAAAGTTAGGAAGGTCTGAATACTTTCTGAATGCACTGTATACAAACATCCAGTAACATGTTTATTCCAAGGCCTCCTTACACTCACATGTACCCCATACCCTCAGGTCTCCCTGAGTGCACATGCACTCAGGCACCTACCAGTGCTCTCATTCCCAGGGATTGCACCTATCCCATGCCCTCGTTCCTGTGGCTCCCTAAAATCTCATGCACTTTGCACCCTGCTTTACAGGCCTCCCTATATTTGCACACACTCCACACCCTTCTTCCTGGGTTTCCTATACTCACACACACTGTATACTCCACTTCCTAGGACACTCTGCTCGCATACACCCTGGATTGCTGTTGCTCAGTAATGTAGTCACATGATGTCACACTTTACAATTATATTGCTTAGCAACAGCAATTGCAGTCTCAATTGCCATCATAATTCAAGGACTACCTGTATGAATTCAAACAAAAGAAAATGAACACTTATAAATAAAATCTTCTTGAATGTTGTTTGAATAATATATGTTGAAGAAATCAGTGAATTTTTCCTAGAACAGAATTTGTTTCCTAATCGTAGTTTTTAAAAATGATTGTGTATAGCAGATATTACTTTACTCTTCAGTGTGTGTGTGTGTGCATGCGTGCACACACACACACACACACACACACACACACACACACACAC